TAATATTATTATATTTAATTACATACTAGCGGCTCACCCTCGCTTTACTCGGATTCGTTCCTAATTACGTTTTATCGATTTGTACGGAATAGATATACTATATATTACACAGGTATTATGAGTTATATATTGCTTACTTGAAAATTGACTGATACCCCATACAAACTTTCATCCCCCTTTTCACCTCCTGAAGGGATGATTTTTGGCATAAATACTATGTTAAGTCCTACACAAGGCCTCAAACTGCCTTTATTCGAAATTTCATCTAAGTCGGTTCAGCGGATTTTTAGTATATCCATTACAAACAAACATACAAAAAAAAACAGTTTTTTTTGTCTTTATAATATTAGTTTAGATTTAGATTATAGTGTGCTATAACATTTGAAAAAAAAATAGAATTGTTTTAGTTTGATTTAAAACCTTATTTCTGTATAATTGAATAAAACTATACGTAATTATGGAAAATGTAGAGCTTAAGTCATAATATTATACTCGTAGATTTCAAAATTAATGTCAGAAGTACAATTTAGTATTTGTAGAGTATTGAAGATTGAGTGCAAGGAGTATTGAAGAAAACCGATAGTATACACGTGATTTCTTTACTTAAATATTTTCAGTTTAGCTTAGAATTAAATATTTTCTTATCTAGCTTTCGCCTGTGGATTTCGCCCGTAGACCGTTTCCATACTACGTGTTTCATACTTTCTTCTATATGCCTGTGGAACTGAAATTTTAATAAATTAAAGTATCTATACGTTTATGGCAGTCGTAGCCCAGTGGTAACGCGCTCGCTTAGGAAACCGAGTAAAGCGAGTTCAAATCACGAGTCTCGCACCTCTAATATTTTCATGTGCGAATCATTTCAAACATGATTACCACTTGTCTTACGGTAAAGAAAATCATCGTGAGGAATCGATTACTGAATACATACATACGTTTAAACCCAATACATTATACAGATGTTCGTACTAAGCCATTAGCTTTCATGACCTGAATGCTAGACGCTAAGAATTTCATTTTATAGTGCAACTTTGCAAATCGAATTTATTCGACTTATAAACGAAATGCAAATTTTATGCACGTTTTATATATAACTGAATTTCTTGAATATATTTGGCTCTTTACAAAATTATTTTTATACTTTGACATCTTTTATATAGGTATAGGGTACTATGGGAGCGGAGTTGCCATGTGTGATAATATTATTTTAGTTTTCCTCATTAGTTTTTCCTTTTTCTCTATTAATATAACGCACTGTACTCACTAGCTAAGTATGTACGAGTTTACGGAATTCTAACCAACAATCACCGGTGTAAGAAGTAATGTGGGTCAGATACATAGCGTGTCCTTTTTGTATAAAAATAACAAAGAGAATTCTCTCAATATTTGGCTCATTATCAAACTATTTTTATAATGTAGTAGTTAGAGAGATTATAATATAATTGCAGGTTTTCTAACGTGTTTCTCTTAACTCTAAATCATTAAAGAAAAAATTTTTTTAGGGATCCGTTGGCAAAAGACTAAAGCAGAAAGAATTCTTATCATTTAGTCATGTCCCTCTGATATTATGTTACAGCCATTTTACTTAAAGACTATTGATCCAGTGCTGTTTGGTAAGTGTCTCATAAACATCACTAGACCCAGACCATTCTATAGTTAAATTACAACAAATAAAATAAAAGATCAGTGCAAGTTTGACTCCTACGTCGACAGTTTCGTAGCATGATTTTTTTTTTGTTTCAATATATTAACCGACCGCGGGCTACCTGTGAGAAGCAATATGCTCGCGCGTAGATTTGGTAAAGCAATGATGATGTGACGGTGACCTTGTTTAAAATATATTTCTTATGATTTTATACATGTCAGCTTTGGATAAAATTTTTAGGTGAGCGGTCAATAACATCAGGGTATCAGCGATATGACGGACAAATCCTGATGAAATTGCCCAGATACTGCAGCGCTTTGGAATATGATTTCAAAGGCTGGAGTGCCTGATTTTTTTGGTGATAATTAGATCACGAAACGCTTCATTCTGGAATCGTGTGAGAGTCTCTAACAATGAGATTCTTGAGACGTTGGTAAAGACTCGACTGCATGATTCTTAAGTTTTGACTTTCGGTGCATCAGGAAAAGGGCTAATAAAAAATAAATTAAAGAAGAATAATCTAATTCTTCTAATTCTTTGAAAATTATAGATAGATTTGAACTTTAATTATCCATACTAATATTATAAATGTGTTTGTGAGAATGGATGGATGGATGTTTGTTACTCTTTCACGCCAGAACGGCTAAACGAATCTGAATGAAATTTGGCACATGGATAGATTATAGTTTGGAAAAGTGAATAATCGAATATTTTTCTGAGATAAGTAACCTATGTGGTTACTTATCTCAGAAAAATATTCGATTCCCGTGGGATAGCTTTATTTTTGACAAGAACGAACTCCGAAGCGAAGCGAGGGTGTTTTGCTAGTAATGTATATTTTTCGTAATAAATAAAGTGTTAAATATTTATGTTTTATAGCAATAACGTTTCTAACTGAATTTCGGTCACGCAAACCTACCTCACTGGGACTAGTTGTCTATGCGGGGCATATGGCTTTCCGTACTCCCCATGATTTAGAAATATTGCACCACTAGTTTCCCAACTTCGGGCCGTTACTGATAAATCACAATAATTCTTTTAATCTGACATGAGATTCGAAAACCACCTCATGATATGCAGCCAAATAAACATCCAATAACTTTAATACAAGACAAACTTTTAAAGAAACAAACAATAAATTAATATTACTTCGAATTCATTTACATTAAGTATAATATAAAAAAAACTAAATGAAATCTCTTAATATTGTAAAAAAGATGTGGGATTTTCATATAAGATAGCCAATTCGAGCTCGCATTACGCCTAACGATACCATCTTATCTTAAGAGCGGTCCGTTTAGGTCCTGTATAAAAATAAATGGCCCTTGATTCGGTTTCAGTGTTATTCTATGGGAGAAATTTTTATACTATTTACATTTAATTATTTTAATACACTTGTAATATTTTTACTACTTGTTTTTGAAGTTATACTTCTTTTGGCACGTTTGGAAAAAAATATGAGAGTAAAATTTTTACAATGCGCGCGCACAACGACAGCCAAAAAGCGACATGATGAAGTTAGCTGCATTCCTTTTACAAACAAAGAATTGTGACATACGGGATGAAATCTTTAACTATTTTTGTCCTGTTACGCCAAAGAAGTATAACTTTTTACGTACATACATAAGTACACACAAAGCTTTTTTTTTTGTTTTATCTACTAGTATTTATTTTGTCATATTGTATGAGTGAAACGATGTACCCATGTATACAATCTAACCATAAATTATACGTATAAAATTTCATTAATATGAATAATTTTCATCATTTCTCACCTTTTATATTAGGATAAAATAGGCTTTGATAGAAGGACAGATCGAGGAATATAGAAATAATAAATATATGTACATATATGTAGGTTCGCTTTTGGATGTATCGAAAACCTCAAAGGTAGAAATATGTGTAGTTATTTCTCTACTTAACCAATATAACACAAAATATGATATTTGCGCTAAAACAACAAAATCTATGCTTTTGAGCGGTTTATGAGCTACAGCTACACTCTAACACACTACCTATAAGTATCGGGAGCAGTTTCGTTTCTTTTATAATAGGTACTTGTCGAAATTCTGACTTGTTATCTATTTTAAAACTTTTAGCTATATTTTCTAACATAAGCAAAGACACCTGATATAGATTGACCTCATATTCAAATATTTTATAAATATTCATGTAAATTGTACATATTATAACAAAGATCACGATTCGAGACGAGATTTTGCATTTTGCGTTACCTTTTCTAAAATTTATTGTTATTAAATATTATAAGAAATTTAATTAACTGTAGGCAAGGATTGAATATCTCAGAACAAAGATTAAGCATTAAATTCAGCAAACATGTCAAATACGCTCAGTCGGCCCACTAATTAATTTCAAACAACACGGGCTTCTTTAGTGATTTCCTTTTATTGTAACTTATGTCTAACAGTATTATTATATACTAGCGATACGTTTTAACGTTTAGTATAGATTTCTCAGAGATTAGATATTTTCCAGCGGTAAAAAGTATCCTATATGTTGACCCTGATAACCAGCTATCACCGTGCAAAATTTAATCAAAATATGTCAGTGGTTTTCTCGTGATGCGTTACCAGACACATAGACAGATAAATAAAAAATCTAAAAAACTATAGATACGGCCTCTGTATCGATAATAATTAAGACTATTTTAATAAGATTTTCCCAAAAATATTTAATGTACAAATGCGACTCATTTAGAATTTTATTACATCTATGTACATATGTATATATGATTTGAATGTATGTAGAAAACATTTTGATCCTAATCGATAAATAAATATCGATAATAGAAAGAGATATTAGGTTTAGCTTTCCACAATTATTAATCTATTTCTAAAATGGAAGTGTTTTTCAATTCATTCATTCGATGATGACCGACGTTTTTATATTTGTATATTATTTGATATCTTCGCCAATTTTGAAGAATGAGGAATAATATTGAGAAAGTGTCATAGAACTATAAGGTTCCTAGCAAGTTTTTGAAACGCGAAGTCCATTAACCCTCACTTGACCACTGTGGTGGACTATGGCCTTATCGTCCTCGTAATGAATGGAGGCCAGTGCCCAGCAGTGGGACGTTGTAAAATACTGGATATAAGTGTACTGATGATGATGATGTTCTCCTGGCGCAGGACCGACGGCTTTACGTGCTCTCCGAGGCACGGGGGTGAAACACCGCCAACTTCCCAACTCCGGGCTGTTATTGATGCTTACTATACAGATAGACTTAATAACTAAAAATATCATATCATACTATAATATCATATTATATTAAGGTAACCAACCCTCTTAGTATTTCAGTCGAGTAGCAAAAATAAAACGTGAATATAATTACCTTTACTAAGTGGAATAAGATCCGGGTTGCGGTCGTCGGGAGAGGATCGCTTCTGAAGTGTTGCTTTTTGATTCTTCGTTGATTGCATTGTCACTAGAGGGGCAAAGGGTTATTTACTTTCATCGAAACTCGTACTTGTGGCTTAATTATATTACCATTTATTGTATTTTCTATAAATCGATAATTATGATCAAAGCCTTTGATTTATTTAGTTTTTATAATTGGACCCAGTTATGCAAAAAACAGCCATGTGCGTAAAAGTACCAACAGAGTTATAAGCATTTTATTATAAAAAATAAAATAATGATAAAAAATAAACAATACTTATATAAATATTGTTCAATTTTAATATAACCAGAAAAACAAAACATAAGCCAAGTGCAACTATCGATAGAAAAATGTTTTTAACTCTGTTGGTACTTTTACGCACATGGCTGTTTTTTTGCATAATTGGTTCCAATTACAGTAAAGGTGAAAATATTAAAATATCCTTAGTTTTTTCGCTTAATTTGCTAGCATAAAATATGTACATTTTGAGCAAAATATTAGTGGCAAAAGAAAGCCGAACATAAATTAGCCAGGAATGAAACAAAAAAACTTTATATCTACGTAATGTAATAAACATTAAACTTCGTAGATTCTACTAACTTATTGACTATGTACATCAAAGGTAAGATTTTGTGGAGAAATTGATGTTAGTTTTGTAATCAACCAAAGTTATCTAAAAACTTCTGTTTATATTGCCTATGGGTAATTTATTACGCTTATTGCTTACATTCTTTTTTGAATCTAAAAACTTTAAAAGCATAAACGAAGAATAGAGTTTATTGAATTAAGGATACATAATATATTTTATAAAAAATATATTAAGTAAGTAAAAGTTATTATAAACAAGCGACTCACCCTAGCTCCGCTCGGGTTCGTCCCTAGGTATTTTTTTTAAATTGACGTAACTTTTTTATTTATGAATCGATTGAAATATATATATATATATATATATATATATATATATATATATATATAACAAATACTAAATGTTAAGTGAAGCTTACTACAATATATTAGTTAAAACCGCTAAAATGAAATCAGTTAAGGCGTTTTTGAGATTAGCGCGCATAAACGCACAGACAAACAGACAATCGGCAAACAGACAAAAATTCTAAAAAATTTATCAAATATCTTCCATGTACAGACAGCGATCAGTTACACTTTTATTATATGTATAGATAACAAACCTTCATAGTCCCTCGCTCGGTGACGTAACCTCGTGGCTATTAGCGCGAGGCATAAAATGATTGCGACGGTTAGAGCCGCACCCAACACGCCACCGACTGCCCAGTTTACTTCCCATGGTTCTTGCGGTTCTAAATATACAGATTGAACTATAATTATATTATAATTAAAAAGAAAGATTGTTGCGCTCATAGCGTCATATTATATTAAATAATTGCTTATGTAGATATATGTGTATATGCATGTGTATGTATATGTGCGTATGTGAATATATATATTTCAATTTAGATCTTTCTTAATTTGTAAATAATATATTTAGCTGTTAATATTTCTATGAACTAATTTTTATTTGTAAGCTGTAACATTGTGAATCTTTATGGTACTTTTTTGATATTCTAAATTTTGTTTTGCCTTTACATGTACTATTTTTTAAATGTCGTTATCACCTATAATTAAGGTACTACGAGTTATCTATCTGTTTTATTTTCCATGTATGTTATAATGTGTTTAGTTTGTACTTTGTTGGTGGTCTAATAAATAAATAAATAAATAAATATCATCTTAGATAACTAGTTGAAAGTCTATTTGAGTTACAATATCGAAAAGTAAGAAAACTTCTTAATTGAAATAACTATAATAAATTATCTGCTAACTTCCAAAAGCATAAAATAAGGCCAGTAATATTTATTATTCATAACATTTAATTCAATTTCTGGAGTTTCTTGAACTTGAATTTCGAAGAATTATTAGATAGCTCAGGGTGTTTTAAGATTATTACCATTAAGACGGGGGAGTTCTGTTGGATTTAAGTGGGTAGTATTGGCTTTTCTAGCTGGTGAGTCCTACATAACCACTTGTATATAATACAGGTGAATGAACATAAATGAAAATCATCTCGTAAGAGGTTAAAGGTTCTTGTAGGTAAGGTCATCTGCTTATTGTGTACTGGCGAATCACCCTAGCTTGATAGCCCATACAAATTTCATCCCCATTTTCACCCCTTTAAGGGATGATTTCCAAGGTTAAAAGTATCTTATGTCCTTCCAAGGGTCTCAAACTATCTTTTTATCAAATTTCATCTAAATCAGTTCAGTAGGACCAGAGATTACCCCTACAACGTCACAAACTTACAAGCTTTACTTTTTTATAATATTAGTATATATAATATATGTGAAATAATAAAGTATAGAATTAAAAATTAAAAAAAAATCCTACGCACATTAATTGTCATTTAACGATTACACTGGCACGCGTGAAGCACTTAATGGAATAATCATACAACAAAATGCCTTACATCATTTTGGAAAAGAGCTGATACTCTTACACTGCTGGACAGATATTAACCAAACATAGTTAGGAACCACCGCAAGGAAACAGTCTTTCAAATAAAAAAAAATCATCAAAATCGGTCCATCCGTTTGAGAGCTACGATGCCACAGACAGACAGACAGACAGACACACACACACACACACATACACACACAGACAGACAGACATTGACGTCAAACTTATAACACACCCCTTTTAGCGTCGGGCGTTAAAACACTAGATCGGAAAACAAAATCGCTATATGCGATATATTATGCAATACTAGCGGTTCACCCTCACTTAAGCCGTATATTTTTAGCCTATGTGCTATTCCATAACAGACTATGATCAGACTATAATCTATCTCTGTGCCAAACATCCAGATCAGTTCAGCCATTCTGGCGTGATTTAGTAACAAACATCCATCCAACCAAAATTTCATATTTATATAGTATTAAGATATAAATCAATTAAAATATCTATCATACTGCGGCATAAACGATTTATTTTATCTACATATATATTTGTAGCAATGAATTTTTTTCTTTTACAAACATTTGCTTTTACAGCAAACAGAATCGAAAAACTTTAAACTCTTTATAATTGAATGCATTGAATTTATTTTTCAAATTATTTTAATGTTGTCGTTTTTATTTTTGAAACAAAACTAAAACGGTATGTGAGTGTACACTGAACGTGTTCGACGAGCACTGTGTTTACGAAGTGTAATAATTGTTAGCATTCAGCAATTTATAAATGTTGGCTATTCGCTATACATTTTCCTGGTAATTTTTATCATAAAATATTGTTTTATTATGATACTACTAGTTAAAAAAATGTTTACAAATTATCTATATACATATAAATAAAAATGAATGTTCGTATATTTGTTCTCTGTGTGTTCCTAAATCATGGATCCGATTGTGATGTAACTCTAGTAGGCTATTCTGTATATGCCTACGAAGGTTCGTTGAGCAAAAAAATGATTTTTTTTTTGAAGTTTGTCTTTTATGCTTTCCTAAACTATTCAAGCTTACGGACGCACTCGAGTAATGTGCCAGTAAATCTCTAATTGATTTATATTAAACTAGCGATTCATCCCTAGGTACATTATAACGGTTAGTATAGAATTGATAGATTTATTACTTTATTAACGGTTAGTATAGAATTGATAGATTAGATGATATATAGCTCATAGCCATAACCTTCCTCAACAAACGGGCTATCTAATGAAAGAAGTTTTTTTTAATCGGATGAGCAGTACCTGAGATAAGCGTGTTCAAACTCGCTTTATAATATTAGTATAAAATAGATATAAAGTAAAGTGATTAATACAAAATTAAAATAGATTAAACATATTAATTCTTGTTCTTTGGTACGAGTATCTGTAAGCGTTACAACTACAAATTACATACACTGCTAAAAATAGACCGAGATAAGCATTTATATGACTCATACACAGTGTCTGTACACTGTCATCCTCAGAAATCTAATCTGATACCTTTTCCTTTATAACTAGACAAAGGCACGGATTCGATTTCTGTGGAAAGGTACTGTGTACTATGATAATTGTTTAAATTACAATAAATAGTTTATTGACTACTAAATATTCTGATACTCTCGCTAAGAAAATATTCTTGGATATTTCTGAAAAACATTTAGCTCACGCTATAATACACAATCCGTTCTAGGTTTGATGTCGGTCTGGTAAAGTATTTTTATACATAAAACGTTGCTGGAGTGTGTTTTGATCGGAACTTGTCTCTTTTTTTGATAGTGTGAATGAGTGCTTTGTTTTAATGTATAAGAATATAGGTAAATAACTAGATCGGTATAGGATGGAGAACAAACCATGATTGACATTATAGTGTGGATCGGGCCTATTAATGACTTTTTAACTACAAATAAAGGTACATCGACTATATATTATAAATACATATGTGTAGCATATAAATAAAATACATAATATAACAATAGTACTTAAATTTATATTTAAACTGCCTGTATTTTTTGAAGAACATGAAGCTTTAAAAGTAAATTCCTTCCAAATACCTTCAATTAATTTTTGTTTACTGTCCAATATCGTAAACCCACCTTTATGTTATTCGATGAGCGTTCAAAAGCAAATAGTTTTATTATTTTTACAATTTTTGGTATGTTTTTACTTATTTTAGGTCCATGTTTTTTGTCTCGCTACGCAATATCTTTGCCAATTAGTCGTCTCAGTGATTTTTTTGTCCAAACGCCAAACCAAAAGAGGTTTTATTACACATTTTGGTTTATAATGTCAATTCTATTAGTATAAAATACACATTTTAATTTTATTTTTAATCTAAAAATGTATTTTATTTATATACATATGTATATAAATCTTAAATTAAAGCATTGTTTTTAAAATAGAGGAAAAAATTCTCTACTATAAAGTACAAGTATTTGTAGTCTGAACAAATAAGCACTAGTGCGACGAACTCTGAACCAATTTTGCCAAGAGTTTTTAATGAATAAGTATTTTAGTAGATAGTATTTTTTATTAATAAACTAGCATTGCCCGCGGCTCCGCCCGCGTTCAGATGACCAAAAACTAAATTCTTAGGTGTTACATATTAGTATACTCTTACATTGCAGTTTTTGTATTTTTCCTCAGAAATAAGATATTTTCCCGCGGTAAAAAGTATCCTAGGATCGCGCGCTACATCGCCCGGTTTATATAGCTTGAGCAGGCGGTCGAGCGATGCGGGGCAGAGGGGATGGACTCGCCGTAGGCATCTCAATGCTCGCCAAGCATTAAAAATGTTTCGCTACTAATTACTTCTAACAACGATATCTCAAAAACTATTCATCTGATTGATTTAGTGTAAAGAGCAATTTTAATCTGCATTAAATGACTAAGCTAACTAAAATATTCATTTGGATAAGGATTAATACCGAACTAAAGAAAATAACTTTGAAAATAACGTAATGTTTTTAATTAAAAATGTTAACATAAAAGTGGTTATTGTAAGTCAACCGTAAGAGATAGAGATATGCTATCGCGGACTTTTTTGTAGCATTTTTATAGATTTTGAATTCTCTAGTACATTACTTAACTGTATCTTTGCTAGTTTACGCGGCGTTCGCGTGGAAAGTTCCCATTTGGCGAGATTTTTTGCGACCTCTTCAACATTTGTCGCCGTATTTCAGCTAATTTACATAAAAGCATAATAAATTATATACCTAAACCTTCCTCAAGAATTACTCTTTCTATTGTTGAAAACCGTATAAAAATCCGTTCAGTAGTTTTCGAGTTTATCGCGTACAGACAGACAGGAGGACAGAAAGACGCGGCCGGGGGACTTATTTTTATAATAAGTATAGATTATATTTGTTCAAATTATAAACTTCAAGAAAAAATCTATCAGCAAATAAATATTTAATTATTTCTGAAGGATCCTTATATTAAATCTATACAGATATATAAAATTGAAGTGACTGTTTGTAATATAAAAATAACAGCTTTTTACTAAATGCATATCAAATTATATACAGTACTTATAATTAAAACACAATTTTTAACATTTTTGTCTGTCTTCTGTCTGTTTGTTCCGGCTAATCTCCAAAACGGCTGCACCGACTTTGACGGGACTTTTACTGGCAGATAGCTGATGTTATAGGCAACCTACTCTTATTTTAGAAAAATAATTAATTAGGGGTTAGGTCAAAAGACATTAAATACTACCTAGAGACGAACTCGAACGACTCGCTAGTAATATAATAAAAATGTTGTATCCGAAAATGTATTTTTTATTCAATTCATTTGTATTTATAACATTATGACTTAGGTTCA